TTCCCAACGGTTTCATTCTTCGGTTCTGTTTTTTGTTTCGTTTGCTTATCATTTTTCCTTCATAATAAATATTCGCAACTGCCGTGGTTAATAAACCAACGGCGGAGCCTCAGTTCGTTCGGCCGATTTTTTTCTCCCGTGTTCTGCTTTCTTTCTTTCGTTTCGATTCGTGCGTCACGACGGAACGGGTGTGCGTACAAACGGAAACCGTCGATATCACGGAGAGAGAGAGAGAGAGAGAAAGACGGGCTAATAAAATCCCGGATTATTCTCACTCCACCCGCCACGCCGCTTTGTTATAATTTATTTTATCAACGATTCATGCCACGGTAATTCGGCTCGAACCGTTCAGACGAGATTCCGGCGGTTCTTCCTTTTTGTCATACGCTCGTGACCGACGAAATATTTTAATCAGTGCAGAACCGATGATAATAATCGTCGAATTAATTTTTGCATCATTAATATTCCTGATCATCGTTTATTAAGGTGAATCAACGGGAACGATTATCTATCATTCATTTACTTTAGCGCGTCGATTATAATACAACCTTAATTTTTGCCGTAATATTTATGGTCGATTACAAATGGGTTATGAAGATCGGTGGGAGAGAAAAAGGAAATTGGAAAGGAAATGCAGGATTATTAATAAATCGATAGGCAAATAAAGTGAGCCGGTTCGTGAATTATCGGTCGATGTCGTGATTAATCTTGATAATTGATTGGTTGGCCCACGGCGAAATTGTCGGTGATCCTGTAACGAGCGCGAGGCGATGCGATCGGCCAAGGCAGCGGTATTCCCATACCGGGTACTTTTGGTTAATCGCCAATAATTCCTTCGGCCAGCGTCACGCCGTCGATGTCCCTGATCCGTCAATGATCGCCGATCAAGGGGATTCTAGATGATTTATGCGTTTCCTATCGGACCAGAGCTGCTCTTTGACGCGGTTGTAACGATTGTAACGTTGCCCCGACTCGTGTTCCCGCGTCGACCCTCCCGTGCGTTTAGCTACGTACGATGGATATGTTTATCGCGGCCACGGGAGTCGAGTGCAATGAATTCTAATGGGAAAAGTAATGAGCTAGTTCTGTGCTCAAAGCGTATATAGAGACGTTCAAGTGCACTCGGCCACTCAACCGTTCGAGCATTCGAGTTTTCGTGTACCTAAGTACGCGTAGATTTAAGTACGTACTCGAATGTTTAGACGTTCGGCCGTTTACATCGATGCCAACTGCCTCTGTAATGATCGTCTGCTCGAACAAATGGCCGGACGATCGGTCGATCCACGGCACGATCTGCACTTGTATTTTGACGAAATTAGGGAGACGAAGAAAGATCCTGTCCCGATCGTATCGCAAATTTCCAGTTCGCGAACCCGAACACGGTCAAGCCTGCGCGGTCCCGAATTTTCACGCGTTTCCAAAAGCGGTTATCGTTGGCCAGGCCACGGTCTGCTCGCGATCGATCTGGCCGTCGACCAGCCGACCCTCTTAGCCTGATGCTGTTGGCCTGTAATCACGGTCGAGATAAAGTGGATAGCAGGGTCTCGTCTCGAACCGGGAGAGGACGAAGGGACGCGGAGGGTAGCCGAGGGACGAGAGGCCCACGGAATTAATTAAAAGGTCGCGTGGCTACGCGCGTGCGCCCGCCAACGTGCCGAAAGTACGCGGCGTTAATTCCTTCTGCCCACCCACCGTCCAATTCTTTTTGCTGAAAAAATTATACGGACGAGAACACCTCGTCTAGTTTTTATCCCGACCAACGATCCGTGTATTCTGGATCTTTATTCGATTTTCACTAGGTTTCGAGAGATCTTCGACGGATCGTCCTCTCGAGAACTTTTAAACTCTGCTCGCTCGCAGAAATCGTGTAAACTATTGAAGTGTTAAGCGACTCGTCCTGGATGACGTTGTTGCACAGGTAATTTTCGAAACTGGGCTTCTCGCCATGGGTAGAGTTCGGCTAGGTGGGAGGAAGAGGATATCGTTCGGTCGGGCTGAATACCGTCCTTCGGAAAAGCGGTCAACGATGCTGACTCGGAAATTAATTGACTCATATTCCAGACGACCTCGGGAGATCATCGAGCGAAGGTCGGCTTAGACTCGAGTCTCTTCCATCGGTCCGTTCGGTCGTTAGGGATTTCCTTCAATTTCGAATTATCCTACGTTCTCGATCGTAATTATCATATGAAAAAGCTGCTTGGCCTATTTACGAGTTCTCCGTGGAAACTGCAGGATCGAAATTAATCTGATTTCGAAAATCGTCAGCCACCCGTTAGACGGGAGATGAGACGAGCACGTTTCATCGTTCCATGGAACGGTTGATTTAAATACGTTCGAGGCGGTCAACGATCCAGATATCTTTGGATATTTTTAACGACGATCGCGCACCCCCTCCTCTGACCGAGAGGGTCTCGAGTTAAGATAATAGCCCGACGAAACTTGCGCCGGGTTTAACGGCGGAGGCCTGTGTGTACACAAATGATCGAACGGAGTGCAATTTCTGTAACGAGGAACAAACTTGTAGGCAAACTCCCGAAGTCCTCCGTGTAAACCGGTCTGCTTCGTTATCGATTTCATACTTTAAGCTCGAACCCGGCGGCTTTTTCATATAATTAACACCGCGGCTAACGATGATCCACGGTTCAGAGTAGCCAATGTGATACGAGCACTTAACGAAGTAAAGGCAAACAGGCTACGTGGGTATAACAATGCGATGCAATCGTCTTAATCGTTAAATGCTACCCGAGGTAAAATTTCGCCGTATCAGTAGCGTCTGTGATAGTACTTTCTTCTCACGTGCAAGCTGTAGGAATTAAAATGAAATAAGAAATTAATTAATCGGCAACGATACAGCGTGAATCGGAAGATCGATTAAGATCGACGTCCTGGCTGGGTACTCGGCTCGTTAATCTCGGGAGATCGAGGTGATCGTTTAGGTAGCTTGGCCCGGCCGTTAATTAATTTCCGACCTAACGAACTCCCTCGTGTATGACTCGCAGCTCGTCGGCCGTCGCCGCGTGTACGAAAATCATTTTCCAGATCCACGGATCCTATCGGTATCGAGGAAATACGAAAATATCAGTAATTAAATTCTTGGCTCTCTTCGTTCCCCTAACGGGAAGTCGTTTCAGATAAAGATGAATCAATGGAAGCAACCGTCAGATATCCGTACGATTTTTATAGTAAATTCGTGTAAAGATAATCGATAAAAAGGACCGAATTGGAGGTCGACCCAATCATGATTCATCCATGTCCATTGTTCATGACAGAATTTTAGTATTCGCTATTCTGCCCGATCTAATTCCGTGCAACGGTTGCTCCAATATTTGTACTAATATAAGCTCTCGGCCAGCAGAATACTAAGTACATAATGTAATTCGCCGGTTTCCACGTCGGCCACCAAGGTCGCGGCTTTCACGATAATGGGAGCACACACATTTGGCGAATATCTCCGAGTATCGCTGCCTCGACCAGGAAACACGCGTTCTCTCCCCTTTTGCCCGGCGCATCGTCTTAATCCAATCTTTCCTTCTCCGCTGCTCGCAAACAGATTCCCGTGCCGGGAATCGTCTCCGCAATTTTCCTGCGACTTTGAAAATTCCCCGGCCACGTAGCGAACGTTGAACGACCGCCCGCGTCCCCCCTCTCGGCATTAACCATTCTTTTTGCAAGCTGGTTAGCCCGGGACTCGTCCAACGCGAAACATTAAACCCTCCTGTCCACGGGGAAAACTACCACGCGAACGTTTCCGGCGTCTATTTTCTCCTTTTCTCCTCCCGGTCCTTCATTTTTTTTTCCTCCCCCTCTCGACTTTTTTCCGCGTCCGGAGTGGTAGCTGCAATTTCCTTGCGAGACCGGTGATTATGGGAATAGTTCCGGTGCACGGCGTGGAAAAATTGAATCTGTCACGCTTTTTTTGAGGCCTGTTCGTGACTTATGTTTGCGACGGTGTACCCGGGAGAATTTTACTCGGAGAACATTCGGTGGAATTAAACAGTTAAAACGAACGACTCACCGATCGTGGTGATCACCGTGAGGGAATAGAGGAACGCTCCGGCGAAGCTCCACCTTTTGTTCTCCTCGGAACCGTCGTATCCGTTCTTTATAGCTGTTACCAGTTTCTTCTGATAATCCTCGAGGATCGCCTTTACTTTCGCCTTCCAGATCCTCTCGGAGAACACGTTCTCCTGTAACGTAACAAGACGACTGCCTCGAGACATTTTCAGTTCCCGCTAACGATCAGTTATTAAATCCGACTTATCGCGTCTAGATAAACGCCTTATACTAAAATTGGCTTCAATTCCTTATTCGAACTTCCCCGATCCATCGAACTCGATACCTCGCGATTTTTCCTATCATCATTGACAATTTCCGGACGTAACCATCCTCTAGGATCATCGATTTACGAAAAAGGAATTTAGACGGAGATTTCTTTTATTCTTCAATAATTTTTGGGTGTATCGCGTCGTGCATTCTTATTTGTTGGACGTATCAACTCCGCGGCCTAATAATTAATATTCCAAGAGGGAAAGCGATGAAAAGTCCAGCTTTCTCTTTCGTCGAGACACAAACATCTACGTTACCCTGGAAGTGAGCTCCCAGAGGATGGCAGCCGTCAGGTTCCTCAGTCTGATCACGTCTCCGACGACGTCCAAGTTGTTCCTGCCCTCGATGTGGGTGAAGAGGAAGGCGCCGGCTATGGTATATCCGACGACCAGGCACACTATACCGACGTTGCTGAAGAGGAAGGCTATCAGAGCCCTGGTCCAGTCCGCGATCCTCTCGCCCCACGACTTCCGTCTACGTTTTCTTCGCCTTCCACTGCGAGTCCGATAACTTCCACGCTGCCAGTTTCTACTGGACGTCGAATACGATCCTCGATCCCCTTCCATCCCTCGTTCAACGTTCCAAGCCCTTCAAGTGTCGTCTATTTCCTCCTTTTTTTTCTATCGCACTTCACCTAGTTCCGCTCGTTTTAGATTTCCTCCCAGAGTCTCACGCTGATTCGAACGCACGGCGATTGATTATGAATAAAACAACCACTGGAACCCACAGTAAAAGAGGATTATTCAAGGATTTTCAAAAGCAGCTTAAATTGGCCATCGTTCATCCGAATCAATATAAATACAGGTTTGACCATCGTCTTCTCTCGGGAGGGTGGAAAAGGGACATGGGAGCGAAGCTGCTGATGGGTCCGTTGATCGGGCTAACGAACTGATCTACTGGCTCGGGCGAACTCGAGCTGTAAGGAGCATAATTTGAAACTTGTTTGCGTAATAGCCGGCCGACATTCGTCGCGGTCGGACGCGGTGGATATTTAACGCGCGTGAAATTCCCGGCATCGAGCGTAATTCCAGGCGCTGCGCCGCGCCACCAAATCGCGCACCGTTACCAAAAGTATTTCGGGTACCGTCGTAAAATAAAAAAAGATACTACGGTGTATTCTGGCAGTCCTCTTTTCTACTCGAGCGTGCCAAACGGACGGTCTCATTGTCGTAGAATATTTCTGATACCATCGTGACTGGTCAAGGATTCAATAGATTTTCTAAAGAGTCATTCGTTATGAGCAATATTAAGGATGTATTGGCTATACAATCAATCCCAAAAGTTTATGTATCTTAGAAAAACGCATTTCCTATAATTAAAAATAGTGCACTTGTCTTCTAATTTTGATATTTAACGAGTTACGTATGATTATTTGGCATTTTATTGATGTTGACAAAAACCGACCATTCCAGCGTCGAAACAGCGAACTTTTGGAAAAAAATTTCGTTTTTCCTCAATAACTTCTAAATCGTTGATCCTACGAGAAAATTGCATAGGACCTTTCTTGTAGAGGATGACGAGATCTACAATTTCTGTATAAAAGTTTTTTGCTAGCATTAATATTTAAAGAGTTATGGACGAAAAACGAAAAAACAGTTTTTTGCGAATAACTCGTAAACTATCTATGCTAGCGACAAATTTTTATATGGAAGTTGTAGATCTCGTCGTCCTCTACAAAATGGTCCTATAAACGCCCCCCTACGTCCATCCGTTCGGGAGTTATGGGCAAAAAACGAAAATTTCGCAAAATTTGAAGGGGTACCCCTTGGAAAAATCTCGGAAAAATCGAAAATTTTTTTTTCGTGTTTATTATTAGCAGTGTTCTTCCGACGTCCGATTTCTTTTTAAAAAAAGCGTTTCTAAAGTGCATAAACTTCTGGGATTGACTGTATAGCTAATGCATCCTTAAGAGACGGAGGACGCGATAAAGTCCACGGCTAATCATGACGCAGTACAAAGAGTCGCTATTTGTTTGTTTGCTATGTATTCGGAATTTTTTATTCTAACATAGACGACGATTCTTCGGGACGACTTACCTGGATCGTTTCCAGTCCATCTCCACGTTTTGTGTGTTCGGCAACGAAGTCTGTCCGGCTCGTCCGATCGTCCGCGATCTGATCCAGATATAAATTAATAGAGAGGGAACACGGTCGAATGCTAAAAAGGGTATCGCGGGACTGTACGCGATCGGTGACCCGGCGGAACGGTGAGATTACACGGTCGCGTTTGATAGGAAACGTCGCTGACCCTTTCGCTTCCCTTCGCGAGCTCTGTGCCTCGGACGCCGGGTATCGACTTTCGTTCCCGAACGAACAACAATCGTAAACGAGTTAACGAGATCTATTGTCAGACCTTTTACCACACGACCGGCTCTTGCAACTTTCTTTCCCTCCGAGTTAAAATTCTACGGGCGATGTTCTCCCCCAGCTGCCTGGAAATTATTGTTCTCCTTTTCGTTTCGGTGGTCGTCCGAGGCTTTAAATATAGAACGGTCCGTACGCTTTCTTCCAACACCAAATTCTGTTCATTTCGTTTCTATGTTTATCCCTCGCTGTCGAGAGCGATACGGTTTCTCCCTTTATTTCAATCCTTTTCCTTCTCTCCTCGTAGTCAGTAGTTTCGCGTGGGAAATTTGTTTTCCTCGCGTCGCGTTTTAAATATAGACACGCTCGTGGCTTCCGGTCAGACGCTCTGTCAAGACGGACTCGCCACGTGTTGACACATGCTGCTGGATCCACTCTTTCGCGTACCACTGTCCTCTGTTTCTTCTTGTAAATCATCTTCGACGATGGTCGAACATCGTTTGAAAAATCTCGTCACATATCGCGACGTCTACTTCTGCCTTTATCGACACTTTCTCCAAATCGGTTACACGATTTTATTAGATTCGAGTAGAGTCCTAAATGTAAACGATAATTCGTCACACTCTTTTTCTCTTAAACACCTGTTCGCGATTTTTAACTCGAATCGTCCATCTACCGATCATGCGGATCTTTTAAACGATATAATGAACGTTAAACTCGGTTGGATTCGAGATCGAGGTTTCGATTTGCCGATTTCTCGCGATCGAACGCAGAATTGGTAGAACGCGAACCGCTTCTCTGAGGCTTCCCCGTGCACTGATTCCGTGTCACTCGGTTCGACACGCCGTACTGAAAATAGACCGGCTCTAATAATAGCCAGGCTCGTCCCTGACCAGGTTCCGGCTTCCTGGACACCCGGTATATCCCCAGAGCTCTCCGGAACGTCTCGATCGCACCTTGTAAATTTATTATTAGCGCTCCCAGGTAGATACATGCTCGTTTCACATTTCAACGTACACGCTACGTTCTCCTCGTCTTCCGTTTGACCGAGGGCGACGATTTAGGTTTGAATCTGTTAAATCACTTTGCGAGAGAGAAAGGGAGATTGCGGCGTCGGTTACCTTAGTTGCGTGACGGGAAATTCCCTGAATCGAGTTTCCACCTCGTTACGCGTTCCTAGAACGGTCGATGAATTTGGATCGCAACGACTCATTTCCAAATTATTGTACAACAGTTTATTTCGACAAAACACTTATTCGTACTGCATGCATTTTACAATTTGTCATAGATACAAATCCGAGTATCAGAGGAGTAACGAAATGTTAAAGACGCTTGCGCCTGAGAAATCTCGCGTTCGTTCATTGTTTTGAAAGGATCTTCTCCTCAGTTGTCCCGTTTAAACGGGTTTAATTACGACGACGAACAATGAGGGAAAGGAGACCGGGGAACGACGTGAAGTGAACGAGTGTCGATGAATGAGAAGAAATTCGGGTTGAATTCTACGTGACCGAAATTCCGCGAACATTTCTAGCCATCGAGTGAGATCGAGGGGCATCGAGAACGTAGCCCTCGAGCTCGTCGTCGACGACCTCGTCGTTGTATTCGACGTCGTACGCGTCGTAGTCATCGACGTCTTCCTCGTCGTCGCTCTCTTTGATGATCCCCAGCCTCTTCGCGACGTTCTTCACGTTGTTGATGACCTCCTCTTGCACCAGATTAAAGCTCATCGCCAGCAAAGCAATTCCAAATAACAAGTACAACGAACAAACCGCGATCCCTTTGTGCGCGTCCAATTTGTAAGCTGGCACGAAGTCACCGAATCCTGCAACAATAAATCTCTTTCCCTTTTATCCGAGTTCTCACACTCTCCTTTCGTATTCTGTCACGCATGCAAATTAATTCGTTCCTCGTTTGTCAAACGCGCGTAACGTATGCCACGCTACGGAGTTTGATTCTATACAATTTATATGAAATCCTTGGGGACAGTAACACTGACCTATAGTCGTTAGAGTGATGAAGCAGAAATACGCGGAATCGAGAAAAGGCCAGTGTTCCCATGCGCTGAACAGGAAGGCACCACCGAAGATGTAACTGACCACCAAGAAGACGCACAGCCAAATCGGCACCGGCCTTATCGGTTGCCTCTCCTGGTCATCGTTCACGTAATAATCGTAATCGGACTCGAATTCGTCCAGATAGACTTGTCGAGGGAATCCAGGCGCGGACAGTAGGTCCGCTGGTAGCGTGTCTCTTCTATAAGATCGAGCTTTCCCCAAAATAGGAAACATTTTATATTCACGTCTATCAATTTTTCGTATAATTACGAACTGGTTGCATTCGGATGACAATTCTTGCATTTTAATTTACCAACGGGATAGTTGCTCCTGTATCGTTTACTCCTAGAATGTTGGGACCTCCTCGAGTCCATTTCCAAGTAGACCGAAGAAGGTCGTCGCAGGGACGTCGGTACGTTGTTCCTGTAGCCACTGGTCGCGCTTTCCACCGACAAGCATCTTCTGGGCAATGACCTCGTCACTAATGGTACCGGCCCCTCCACGTTTTCGTCCCTGGCTTCTATCACCTGTGGCCCCTGCCGTGATTTCCTCGAATTGCCCACTGTGAACGACGGAACGGTATTTATTAAGGGGAAAATTAAGCGCCGCGTTTATTCACCACTCCGGATAAAATAATGTATGCCTCTTTCGAGCTTGCGCTGCTCTTAATATAAATCGTAAAAATATAAGTGGGTGAAATTAAAGCCGAGAGAGGAGCGCATTAAGAGAATTAATTCGTTCCTTAATTATGTCCGACGGTGAACGAGGAATAAGTTGAAAAACTAAATGCAAGACGGTCGAACCCTCGTGTTCGGCGGAAGCTCGCCATCGTCGTGTCTCGTTCTCCAGATCGTCCAACGCGTATTTGTTGCACACAACCGGCGAGCGGTCGTTGTCGTTCGGCGAACGCAGCAACTTCCTGTCCAACGATTGCGTGGTCATCTTGGGACTGGCTAAACGCAATCGCCGTTTAACAACGTTTCTTTTCTCCGCGAGTGGGTCGCGTCGTTTGCGAATATTACCTCTAGACGGTTTCGCCAATAGGTCCGAGTATCTGGAGACGGTGGCGGACTTAAATCCGAGATTCGGATTTCCCGTTGGCGGACAGGAGGTGCTCGCCCTCTTCTGATCTCTCTCCTCGTATCGACGAGCATACCTCGATTTAAATTTCGCGTATCGTCATAAAAAATGAATGTTATAAAATGTCTGGTGTCTATCGGAAACGAGACTAATCTCACGATCAAGATCGATGTAAACAGGTCGCATCATACTTATTATAATCGACTTCGGAGTACGATGATCTCGCCAGAGTTTCGGACAAGCCCAAGGCCGAGTCTGCGGACCTTTCACTCGCTCTGATCGATCGCCGGAACCCACCTTTGCTTCCCCCGTACCGCCTTACAGAAAGATCCTTCTCTTTACCGAGCAGCGTTTCAATTCTATGTAATATCAATGAAAAACGTACCCTGGTTGCCGCACGGAATAAGATCTGACGAAGTGGGCTCTGGGTCGTCTTTTCTTCGGTGGCTTAGTGCATATGTAGCAGCAGACTCTCCAGTACAAGAATCTGATTAATAATTGATTTTATTTAATGTGACACAATTGATGACGAGTCGTTCACATGTCTCTTTTCTAATTTACTCGTTTAGTAATCGTAGGGGATGGAGAATGCGAATACCTGAAACTCGATGCCATGATGTCGCCGATGTTCGAGAGGCAGAGCAACATCAGGGGAATCCCGATGATGGCGTAGAATATTGTCACCACTTTCCCGTTCTTGGTCTTCGGTGCGATGTGACCGTAACCTAGCGTAAAGCAACGCTCGATTAGCCCTGCATAATTTTCCGCTCGCGTAATGCATCGCAATTAATTCCCTCAGACCACGAGTCGTGCTCGCGGCGTCGACGTCGTCTCTACCTTTCCTCCGTGCAAAGTGTCACGACGCTTCATTTTTTATACGATTTACTTAAACGTATTTTACACTTAAAATTCTCCTAGTGTTAAAAAATTCGTTTCTCGATATTTTTGGAAGGTCGAAACATTCGGCACGTATCGAGATAAAATTTTGTAATCGCTCAGCCGTGGGCCACTGAGAGAGCAAGTTCAAAGTAATTGTTTGAACATCGAAATCGCTCGGGATCGAAAGCCTTGTTTGAGGCTTCAGGGTCGCCGTTGGTAATATTTGGAATACTCGTCGAGGTCGGATCGACAATTTCGCAACGAGTGGCCACTCTTCGTTTCACGGATTCGTCCTGCAGTCTGGGTCAAGGTCTATACGCCTTCGAGCGTTCTTTTTTTACGATCGCTCCACCAGTTCCTGATTAGGAATCGTACACGTATTTCCCATTCATGATACAAGAGGCTGAGAATAAACGAACGTAGAGGACGAGGCCTGAGACAAAAATATTCGAAACAATCGTTCCGATTTCAGACGAGTGCCTCGCAAGTTCGTGCATCCTCTCGAACGAAAGACATGTATTTGTGAATCGATATTCGCCTCTTCTCGAATATCCACGATACATATTTCCTTATTCTAAGATTCTAATTCGCGCGACGAGTAAATAATTACACCGCTTCTTTTCGGTTCCCCTTTTTCCCTCTTTTGAGAGTGCTAATTAACGCTGGCACGGTCGAACGGTTGAAAAAGTGAGAGTGGGCGAGAAGGTTGTATCCGCAGGAAGCGGAGTAGGATTGATGGTGCACAAAAGCCAAACGGACGTTCCGGAACGCGATTCTGTCACGCGTTACGCGCCTTCGGCCGAATTCCACGGTCGTTGCTATTTTTTTTGTCATTCCTCAAGGAACGTCGAAACGCGTCCGACAGAAAATCGATAATTTTGTCAAAATAAACGACGGCTCCGTTTTCGAGGGATCTTCCTGAGAAAAAACACGGATCCGGGGAACATGCACAGAAATAACTATGTCCAAACTGATAGAAAAATATTTGAAATTCTAAAAAGGTCCTCGTGCAAAAAAAAAATTGTACAAACATTACCGCATCCGGTCGACCCCTTCGTTTTTCTTTCCGTCTATTTTTTAAAACTACCCGGTTTTTTTTTTTTGGCTACCGTGCTATTCAAACATTAAACCAAGAAATATATTTCCCGACCGAAAAAAGGAAACCGGGGGCCATTTATTCGCTCGCGTCCTCGCTTCGCGTTCGAGAGAATAAATTCATCATTCCTTTCATTGTATTCCCGTTCGCGTTAACACAAAGGGCGTTTGCCGGCCGACGCGACGTAACAAATTTAGCCCTGCCTTCTCTCCGTGAAACAGTTTAATCGGGAGAGATCGCTGGCTGAGAACGCGGGGCAAAAATCAAGAGAAACGAATCACGGAGGCCGTGACGGGGGAAATTCCTGTCCCGGAAGAAAACTGAATTTCCTCTCAGTTGACCAACAACGGTTCTCCGGCGAAAATTACTGTCGTTCGATTTTCGTTCTATCTGTGAAACGGGGTCACACAAAATAACCAGCCGTTTTCCATGAACGAATCCGAGTCTCTTCCCTATTCGCTACTACGTGTAAACGATTTTGCCTGACTTCATTATTTCAGTTGCCCATCGAGAACTTCGCATATCGATACGTCACAAAGACATCGTGGTGACAGTCTGTTTATCAGTTTAAAACACGTTTGCATACCTTTTACTATGCATATGAAAGAATGATCACGTAGAATCAGTGGAAGAAGAAAAAGTGTGACTCGCACGAAGATGTTGCATCGAGAAAAGCGTGTCTGGCGGACAATGCAGACGTCCTTCGAGGAAGGAATCGCGTGTTACGCCATTTGGCTGGAACTCATTCGAAGAAGGAGGCCATAGAACCACCTGTAATGAAACCAGCTCCCTCCTCACGAGAACCGGCGGATTTTCCCAGGTCGAAGGACGAGGAACGGTTCGGTTTGCGAGTGTTCGATGCACCCACGTGTTTTATTACTCGACCCGGTTTCCACCTTTCTGGATCACGTTCATATTTTAAGAATGACGCGTCACTGTTACTTTTCACATACGTAAAAACTAATTGAACGACACGATAGGAAAACTGTTCAGCGAACAATACTTTGAATCGATCGAAATCTTCCTAAATCTACACTGACTAGACTTCGTTTACGTTTTATTACTTTCAACTTAATTCGACTTCCATTTATCCGAACTATTTTAATTCAATTACAACTATCAGAATTATCTGTATTATTACTGTTGGTACCGAATTCTCTGAGCCGCGATTAGGAGCCGGGTTGAATCATCCCCAGGTAGAAATTACCGATTACGATCGGAGACCTCGAAGCGAAGCACGCCGCGCCGCCGGTACGTTCACCTTCCAACGATGCATATATAAAGACACGATTCCACTTTCACTCTCGTTTTAGTCGACCGGCAATTCACAAGTGAAGCTGACCCGTGTCGTGCATCTTTTTTTCTTCGCGACGTACTCCAACGTAAAATGTCTGTCTTCTTCCTGTTTTGTTGCGTCACAGTGGTCGTAACGGCTGCCGAAAATGATTGGGTATGGAAAGACGGGGAACAGCAAGAGAGTAAAATCGATAAGAGGTACGTTCGTATCTTACTTTTGGGTGGTAATGGTGATATTTCTAAGTAGCGTGTGAAGATCACGTTGTCAATTTATCATTGATCCGTGAGACGAGGTAAAAACTGGAATCGTGGAGAGGGAGAAGAATTATGAAAATGGGACGTTCGCCCAGTTATAGGTACCAGGTGAACGAGAACGTTGAGGATTTCGAGGATGAGGGACCTTTGATAGGATTTAGACCACAAAATACGGGAGCGTACGGTCCTAACGGCAGACCCATTGTGCCGGCGGCGTCGTATCCCGGCAACAAAGGGGTTCTCGTCGGTCCTGGCGGGCCGACCGGCATTATAAAAAGGTATTCGTATCTTCCCGCTGTTTTCCGACCCAGTAAGTCGGTTTTCGAGGCTCGCGAACTACCTATCCGAATGTTGATTGGCTTTGTGCGACCGAATAAACCACCCCGCCGCCCTCCTCGGTGGCCACCGTCGACTCCGTTGGATTTTTATGAAAAGCCAGCAAACGTCCGTCCGTTTTGTCAAGGGATTTCTCCGTTACGGACACCGTCCCGAACCCCGAGGGGACGTTCCACGATACCAGCCTTTGTCGAATCTCAGTTTTTGATGCCTGATAATTGACGCTCGGCTGGACCCGATAATAGGATTTTTTAGACAGACTATCCTATTTATACATTCTATACTTTTCGCGCGTCTGACAAGTCTGAAGCGTTCGAAACTAGATACGCGTTCGAAAAGGATAAAATGTTCTTAATACGATTAACAGGCGTAAACTCTGATAAAGCAAAGTCGGAATAGAATCTGCCTTTTGAAATCTCGTTCTATAAAACGCGTCTATGTTTCATTCAAATTCGAGGAATAGATGACAGAAATAATTTTCGCTTTTCGCCGATACTCAGACCTCCCTACACCGGAAATATCGACGAAGGGGCGTTACATTCCGGTTTCGTACCATCTTGGGTCAAGGACGATCCTCGATACCGAGAATACGACGTTTGTAGGTGTAGATACAGTTTCAACTGCCCTTCCGCTGGAGTAAAATTCGTAAGTGGATTTCGTCACGATGCGTTCTGCGACGCGCTTAAAACAGCCGTGTTCTAATCTGTTCTCTCTAATTATCTTTTACAGGGGTCTTGCGCGAAAGACAAGAAATACTGCTGTTTCAGTAGCAGACGGTATCCGGCGTTGGTTCCTGGCTACGGCGATGGTGCACAGTATCCCGTGTATCCGGTACGTTGATTAATTATCTAAAAGTGTTTTCCACCTTCCCTTTCGTCACCTAACAATTCTAATTGAATCTGACATGATCTATCGCGAATTGTACTGGGGATGAACTCGTTATGAAAGATTGAAATTCCCTGAATAAGGACTTGCAATTTAGGATCTCTCCTTCGAGACCAAAATCGTTACCTCTGAATTTTTATTCGGTGATTCAAGGGTTCATGGGTTACGAACTGTCATAATTTTTTTAACGTTAGAGCGTTCCCAACAAGTACGGGCCGGCGTCGTTTGCGCATCCACCGAACTATTACGGCAATCGAAGACCGCAGGGGAGTTTCGTCGGCGGTAATAGATATCCCGGAAATTACCATATCCCAGGAGAGGCTCCGAGCGCGTATCCACGACCCCATGGAAGTACCCCTTACGAGCAGAATTACGATTACAACGACTACGACTTCTACGGGCGATCGTTGAAGAAAAACCAGACCGAGGATGCGAGCGCGGATCGGAAAGCTTAAGTAAGTCCCTCGGTTCCTCTCTTCTGATTACCTCCCGCGTGGAGTTCGCGTTTCATTTTATACGTCTGAATGGAATTGAAAGAATTAGAGTGGCGAATAAAAGAGGACTGCGACAGTATCGGACAGTAAATGTTCCGATCGAGGATGCACTTATTAATTATTCTGATTGAACACTCGATCACGGGTTCGCCCACGTTAATATATTTAAACGAACGTCGTTAATTCGACTGGTGAATTTAGATCGAGGTCCAGTAAATTCATCGAGCAGTCCCTCTTATTTTTAGCCATAGAACTCGCTGTCGAACCGTCTGTCACCATCGCGACTAACTCGCTGCATTTAAAACAACCACGAGAACTTTAGACGTTCGTAAAAGATTAATACCAAAGACTTTGTTACCACGAACAGGCTTTAATTAACATACAGCGCCGTTTGTCAGTATATCATTGTGGCCTGTAATCATCTTTATATCAGTGTACGTAGATTTCGTTGTATTAATATGTATAATGTATGCGAAAAGCTAAATACATTTCGTGAGAAATTCGGACGTTCTTTCACCTTCCGTCGATCACGTTTCAACGACTCACCGATAGTGGTGATGACCACGATCGAATAAAACAGAGCGCCGGCGAAGGTCCACTGGATGTCGTCCTCACCCTCGCTCCCGTCCCACCCCTCCTTTTCCATCATCCAGACGAGGTTCTCTTCGAAGTTCTGCGAAAGGCGAACCGGTGAGATTCTAGGAATACTCGAGAGCCCCGTTCTTTGTCGTTCGAACGCATCACCTGTAATTCGCGCAACGCCTTGTCCGTCCAGTTCTCGCGAATGAGGACTTCCACCTCCTTCGTGAGCCTCCATAGATGCTCCGCGACGTCCCCCCGAATGTCTTTGATGCTCTTTTTTATCTGGGACGTCGACGAACGTACAGAGAGCAAAGTATGAGAGAGAGAATTCTTGCGATTCTGCCTTTGCGTTTAAATAGTGCTATTTATGGGATGAGTTTGTGCAATACCTCTTTCTCGTGGCCCGCCTCGAGGGCCTCGAAAGCGTACGCGCCGATCAGACAGTACAACACGACCAGAGAGACCAACGACACGTGGGAAAAAACGCATCTGAAAAACTTCCACAGGAGGCGGAGGAACCTGACGCACTTGGAAGACTTCTCGGTCTCCGTCATCTCGAACGCTTCCGCTCTCGATCGTGACATCGTGCTCCCAGCTTCGAACCACCCTCTCGTCTGTATTATATTAACACTTTTACTTACGTTCTCGAAGACCACGCATTTTCAACTGATTTTCACGACGCTCTCTCTCGTTTAAACTTAATCATTTCGTTACGTCCGTTCGATTTTACTTTCACGCGTATTCGTTTAATTAGCGAAGTCTATTGTTAAACTGGAATGTTAATATTTACTGGGACGCTCTCTCGAAAAACGTTACAGTCCTTTGTCACTGATCGCGTTAAATATCGCGATTTATCGGGTTCTCCATCTCGGCGTTCGAGAAGCGAAACTGACTACGGAACTGACATAAAACACAGCCGTGTTTCGTCCGAGATGGTTGTTCCAAATTTATCCCACCTATGCTATCGTGGAAATTTCGCTTCGTACGTTCGAGCCGGAACGTTATGAACGGTCTCTGGCAGCAGCGAGAAGTCCGTTTCAAATTCGGCTATTGTAAATATAATAACATTCTTAAGGGCCGAGTTCGATGACGCGACTAAGAATAGAAAAACGTATGCTATGGACAGCTACCGTACCTTTTGCGCATTTTAAATCTAACTATAATCTAATACTTGTACTTATTTACGTAAGACAGTCTTTTAGAAAATTCGTACGAGTGAATAATAACAAAGATACTTTGATCAATTACTTTCATACTTTAATTTGTATATTTCTTGTATTGTGATTTAAACATTTGAAATTGGGAAGTGTGCGCCGACTAGTACAGGCAAGTAAAACTAGAGAACGAGCAGAGAATCCGAGGCTCGGTAAAAGAAGCTGGAGGTCAGCCGGTTTCTGAAATACCGACGTACCAGTGATATCGATGTGGGCTCCCTGTTATTTATTACGACTACCCCACAACAGACGGTGGTACCTCGATATTCTTTTTGTAAATTGTATTCTTTTCATACAGCTAGTAACAACGAAACTGAGCCAACTATGTGCATGTGTTAGTTTCCCCTAGGAGACAAAATTCAAAACGAGTGTTAATAAATGTACGTCTTATCTTTTTAATGCTCGATCAGACGTTTCTAGAATTGTGGTCATTACTGTTTGACACGTCAAAATAAAAACAATTTTAACCTACGTCTGGATAAATAGTTACCGATGCAATTTTATTTTGAAATTGAATGTAAAGGGAATGTGAAAATACAAGAACGGTGTAAATTATAAAAATAATAAACGTTATTCNTGGACGTATTTAGGCTCATTTTGTAGGGGGCGACGAGATCTACAATTTCTGTGCAAAAAGAATTCGCTAGTGTCAATGGTTAACGAGTTATTTGCAAAAAACGAAAAACAGTTTTTTGCAAATTATTCGTAAACTATTGATGCTAGCGAGAAACTGTTATATAGAGATTGTAGATCTCGTCGTCCTCTACAAAATGGACCCATAAGCGTCTCCCTAAGTCCATCCGTTTGGAAGTTATTGGCGAAAAACAGAAAAACAGTTTTTTGCAAATAACTCGTTAACTATTGGCACTAGCGAATTCTTTTTACACAGAAATTGTAGATCTTGTCGTCCCCTACAAAATGAGCCTAAATACGCCCCCTTACGTCCATCCGTTCGGGAGTTATTGACGAAAAACGAAAATCGCGAAAATCTGAAGGCCCCCTTTGGAAAAATCGCGAAAAAGAACAATTTTATTTATGATAGCATAGGAGGTAGCACTAACTTCTGTTGATGACGTCATCACTCGGAGTTCGTGCTACCTCTTAACAACTTATATTCTCCTAATACAAAGTCCAATGTCAAGCAAAATTTTTCTCCAAAATCGGACTTTGTATCAGGAGAAAATGAGTTGGTAGGAGGTAGCACTAACTCCGAGTGATGACGTCATTTCCAAGAATTCTCGGACACCAAAATTTTTCTCCAAAATTAAACTTTGTATCAGGAGAATATGATAGCATAGGAGGTAGCACTAAGTCTTATTGATGACGTCATTTCCAAGAATTTTGCAGCTCTAAATTTGACGTATTTATACAACTAATTCAATAGCGACCAGGGCTGTTATTTCGAGTTATAGTTCTCGCTAAGGAATGGGTGTTGGTCATTCTAGGAGTATTGGACAGGTGATTAAGTAGACAGTAAGATATATGTTTAACAAGATCTTTATTTCACTTTTAAACAAGTTACAGAATACAAAAATTTGATATCTGTACAGTTTTACTTAAAACTAATTGTAAGTAATTTACAATGAAGTAAAATACTTGCAACCGATCATTCATCTCGACATAAGAGCCTGGTGATCTCCTTTTAACGTTGAAGAAGTAGAAGCCTGTAGAGAACGGTGATATTCTTGTTCGTGGTGAACCGATTTTAACGACCAAACACTAGGATCGAAGCCAAACGTCCAAGGAATATCCTGAGCGGAGGAACGTGTCCAATTCGGATCGCTAAAAGTCGAGAGAGTTACAATTTTATAAGACAGAACCATACTGTAATTTAAAATGATGCTAATGTACATCCGCGTTTTTAGCGAAGCGATTTTAATGAATCGCGACTGAAGTTAAAGCTAATTGTACAAGGAAAGTCTTTGAACAGCTCATCTTATTTTTCTGTTAGTTAAAAATTAGAAGGCACGAGACAATAACACGTACATCTTCGGGTAATATTTTATTATTATCCCAACCGACTCTTCCGTGTATTTACATAAAAAAAGGAGAGAGGTCGATCGTGGAGACTGAGCTGAGAGACGCGTCCGAATCGCGTCCAACGATTTCAGGCACTTCGACGCCCGATTTCGCTCTCCTATTGTTCGTCGAGCGCGGTCGATCAAAAATCGCTACCAATCATTAAAAAATATCGCGAAACCGAGCGTACATTCTCGTTCATAGAGGAATACGATCATCAGTCTGATTGTAGCTATGTGAAAAATCGATTACGACCGATCGACGCCGATTCGATCGCTGTAGTCAATAGCGCGTGAGCATAAATACATTCCTTAGTAAACGTTCGATGGACAAAATCTGTGATACGATTATATAGTAATAATAAAATGATAATTATAGTAATAATATCATATCGTGTACGCGTTAGTTTATGGTGCAACGTCAATCGCGCTCTCGTTCGACGACACAAAAAAAAAATAGAGGAAAGAAAGGAAGCGATCGTGTCGCGTAGAAAGCGATCGAGGTTCACCATGCGAAAGGAAAAGGAGGAGAACGAAGCCTACAGCGAGCCCGTTTCGAGTTACGAAGGAAACGCGTTATGGGAAGAAAGCATTTCACGGTCGTTCCATGGATGTACTTTCGTTCCCCTGTAAAACTGGGGCGTCGGGTTCCCGGCGATACGATCGTCTGTTAAACCTTCGAGGTTTCATTTAAAAGATTCCGAATTATATTCGCTCGTATGATCGATAAACGGAACGCAAGTTTTCCACGGGATCGATCGTGACGCAAAAAATCACTGGAGGATCGCGCAACTTTTGGAAAGGTGCGGCCTACGACTTTTCCCCACGATTTATTTCGTGTCGCCTTTACGTGACCGTACTTTCGAATCGTCCGTCTGTTTCACGATTCACCGTGCGCGTACATCCGTGGAACAAGAGTCTTTCCCGATGCGTTCCAAGTTATTCGACCGGAATCACGATCGTTGGTTCACGGTCGAACTCGAATTACGGCATCGATCGTCGACTCGAGAACGGTATACATTTTTCAAACGAGAGTCCGTTCACAGGTCGGTCATTTAAAAGTGTAAATTGATTATACGAAATGATTAAAAAAAAAGTTTAAAAAGAAACACGAGCCGATTCGAATAAAAGAATTGCACAGAGATCGATCGCGAATCGAAGATCGATGCTACTTTCCAATCACGATTTCTCACTCATCGACATGCTTTCTCCCCGTTATCACACAGCAAAACTCGCGAGGAACCCTTTATTATTGATACGGGACTTCCACTCAACGCGAGGAATCAAAGTTCAGGGAGTAAAAGGGTAAAGGAGAAGTACATCGAGTCTTAGTCTTTGTAAGAGGACTTCTAATCGTAATTAATACTAAGGCCGTGCAACTCGGTTAAAACAGTGCAGACGCCTGTCGATAAATGCATCTTTTCCCGTCACAAGATCGACAAACAAACGAAACGACATCCTGCATCGATCTACCGATCTCGTTTCCATTATAAAAGTTAAAAACCCTTCCTCGACAGTAGACTCACAATCAGACCCGAGGGATCGATGCAGAATCAGATTCAGTCGACGCGTTTAACGTAGGACGATAAAATGGCTAGATCGAAGTACGATCGAAAATGCAACGAAGCTTCGCTTCGCCCGACCGCGGGATCGACGATTTTCGTCGTCGTCGAGGCGTCGTGGTAATTTCGAGAACGAAATTTTGATTAATCTCAAGAAAAATCGACGAAAGGAAACAATTTTTTGAGTTTCATCGTCGACGGCGCGCGAAACAGAGAACCCGAGATCCGATCAACGCTAGCTCGGTTTGAAGAAACCAAGAGTCTCCAACGTCCTGGTGACCCTCTCTATCAGCTGGTCCTTGTACCGCCATATAGTGGTGTCCAATACGCTGTTCTCTCGGTATTCGACGCAGGTCTTCTTCAACGATTTAACGCAGTCGGCCCGATAGTGTTGTAACTGCGCGTCCTCGGTCTCTATGGGGTAACTGGTACACCCGGCACCTAGACAGGCCAGCGGGAAGTGATTGTGCAAGGTGACCACCCTCTCCGGGTTGTGGAAGCACTTGATATACTGGTTCGGCTTGGTGAAGTTCTTCGAACGATACACATGCTGCAACATATGCATGTACCTACGAACAGATATCGAAATTCGAGTTAAAACAAATGACGCCTCTCGACTTCCCATGAGCATCGGAATTTTCTAAACGCTCTAATTTCATTTTAATCTAAAAGGAAGGATTCATCGGATAGACGAACATGTGAAAACTATAAATTGAACGTTTCGTTTCATTATGAATTCCCTCGATTATTATTTGATGAGAGAGAAGAGATGATTTTCGGGTTACAATTTGCCAACATCTTTAATGGCACGGTAGAAATACAAAGTGACTGCAATTTATCCGGGTTTCGAAATTGAGCAGGCATTTACCCAACGTGAAGAATACCGTCATTATTGATACGTCGAACTAATATTAGCATCGCACACAACCTGGATTCCGCAATTCCACTTAATAACGGATGTAGATGCGGCTCCATTAATTTAGTACAATCATCCATAAAAGAGAAAACGTTTGCCATCGTTTCGTAACGTTCACACAGAACGATTATACCATTCTTCTCTCGATCGATTTAAATTGAACATAGATCGCGAATTTTAATGCGTTTAGGAGATATTTAAAAATATGAACTACCTACAAAGTGTTCAAAGCATACTCGTTCCCTGAATATTTATTTCAAATATTTCACTTTGCGTGAAAACCGAGTTGCGGCGAAAGTAAAGGAAATGATCGTAAATTGACTTACTTCGGCATGTCCTTGAAGTACCCGTGCGAGTGCAGCAAGTCGTCCAAAAAGTACACGTTCCTAACGTTGTACGAGGCTCTGGTCTCGTTCCTGATCTTAAACGCTTTGGTCAAGACCCTCTTCATCAGATCCTGCCACGTGGCATCCCTCACCGGCATGATCACCTCGTCGACGTCCAACAGAGCGATGTACTCGTACTCGTACATGTGCTTGTACAAGCAATCGTTGTACGGGATCAGTTCGTTCTGTCGTTTGTGATTGGTCTTCTTCGTCAGATACATGTGTTGAAACGCGGGGACGTTCGGCTGTCCGCCCGGGAGAGTCAACGGAGTCACGTGAACTTTCCCGAGCCTTTGGTAATGGTCCAGAATCTTGGTCACGTTCGGATGAACTTGCAGCTGATAGAAGAAGATCTTGTCCGCGCCGAGGAGCGTGATCAGTTCGATCCATTCGACCAATCGAACGGAGAGGTCCTCGTGAAGGAAGTCGAGACCCTTCACGCAGACGGCGAAATCCTTCTTGCGTTCAGGCTTGTTATAGATGACTCTGAGATTGTTAGTAGGAGTGTCGCAGGGTTTCTCTGCCATGGAGACCGAAGCCGGTGCTCCCTTGGACCAATGAGACTGAGGTATCTTGCAGGCGATCACGTACGGCTGATAGATCCCCTGTTTATAGTTTCCCCATTTCGGATACCAAATGTACTTGTACTCCAGGGTCTCGACGACCTTCGGCTCCCTCTCGCCGTCGTACCACAGTTGACAGTGCGTCTTCACGGTGGGCTCGATCCTGTCGATCATCCCGACGATTCTTATCGCCGGTCCTATCCTGGACAGCTTGCGGCGGTCGTAAAACGCGCCGAAGAACTGGAACGTGCCGTTGCTGGTCCTCATCGTCTGCCAGTAGACGTTGTTGAACTCTATGTCGTAGATCGACGGGTACTTGAGGTTCGCACAGCTGTCGTTACCCTTGGCTTTACCCTGACCACCGGAGTACTTGCTGTTCTTGCTCCAGTACGCCAGAGGCAGGCTGGGGAGCCTCTGTTCTATCTCTTGGATCAGTTCCTCTTCGGTCTTGGCGGGGCTCTTGTCCAACAGAGGCTCCAGGTCCAACGGGTTCCTCGTCGGTGAATTCGATATGGTGGTCAGAGTCGTCAGGAGTCCCGAGCCGCCGGAATTCGAGAAACCGTTGTCCGCCGATGATCTCTGGAGCAAATAGCGGGATAGGCCGAGACTCGACGATCCCCGATCGTTCGTCATCTCTCGTCGACGGTACGTGTCCTCGACGAGGACGTCGCTGCTCGATTCCTCCGCGGTCGGTGACTCCCTCAACGCGTTCTCTATGTTCGCGTGTCGAAATTGGACCGCGGCGATCATCACCAGGCCCCACGCGAACACGAAGATCAGGGCGCGCCTCGCGCACCTGGAACCGCCTCCGTTGCAGCTGGGCAACATGTTTCGGACTAGCTGCGTGTCGATCGAGCCACGTCGCTGCCGCTGTCCGTGCGCCACCGGATCCACTCACGCGGACCTGTCACGGTGCTGCGTCTAAAAAAAAACAGACGATTTTCTTGTCAAGATGATTTTTGGGTCATCCACTGTTCTCTAATCGAATCAGTATTGAACAGGTTCATCGATCGACGATACGAATTGAAAAACGCTGATACGATTGACGATTAAAAGATTTAAAAATGCGGATGCATCGGCAGTAAGAGAGAACAAAGCTATGAAGTAAACGATTGCTATTAGTACCAGTGGAAAGTGTAACGCTATCTTTCACCGTCGCCTATTCACTCCGGAGGAAGACGATAATAACCGGAAGCATTTTCCCGATGCGACGCTTGACGCAACAGAACAGGCGAACCCGAAGGATGGTAATCGAACGCTTCCTCCTTAGAAAGAGCGACGGGCAGCGGCGAACGAACAGAGACATGACGAGAATCGCCGTTTGAATTGAAACCAGCTTTTATTCGTCGATCTAACCGCGAGCAGAGACTGTGATCTTCGTCTAATTGCGGTACAATCGAGGGAAATCTTTTCCTGTACCGTCATTGCCATTAGTCTCGGGTTATTACTTATGAAACGATATTGCCATGAACTGAATAGTCAGTTACTCGAGGTCTTTGCTTCATGTGCGTGCGCGTATCTACAGGATGAGGCAATGAGAATCGTCATCTGAACTAACGTAATATTTATTGACACTACAGCCCGGCAGAAATTAGCTCCAACGTAGTCACTTAGCAGACACAAAAAAAATTCATAAAAGAATATATTTTAATAAGATGAAAAGAGCAATACTGCTACCGCTATTTTCTATTCCGTTCATTTTCGAAATCTGAGTTACGAGTGTCTCACTTTTCATTCCACAGTTTGATCATGAAGCAGCGATCGGATCATCCTTGACCTCGAGACGAACAGGTAACGATCGATTTTATCGCTTCCAATTTTCACGGTCGAAAAGTAGAAAAGTACAGAGCGGTTAACAGATAAGGGGAACGGAGCAGACGCGGTGCGGCATGGAAAACTTATCTGACGGGAACGAGTCGGCCGTGTCAAGGTATCAGAAACGATACGGGAGCTGGTCACGGTAGCTTTCACGACCGGCCGGTGTAGCTTTTATTCGTCTATTTATTTATAAGTCGGGTGTAAGTGGCGAGGCGCGACAGGAATGGCGAAAGATGCTGAGAACAATGAACGGAAAGTTGGTAGGAGTGAATTTCAACACCCCGCATTACCATGTCGCTTGGAAGTGTACCTGGCTACCGATCCGTGTTTACGTCTTATTAAATTCCGTGCATACGTACGGACACGTTTCGCATGAATTCTATATTTGCCTAAGCTCATGGGTTTCTGTGTCTCAGAAAATCGCATAGAAATTATCAATCGGACGTTAACGAACCATGGAAGCGTCTTCTCAATTTTGAAGTCGCCGCGTTGCCATTCGGATCTCTCAATGTCTGTTCTACCCGTGTAGAACGGTATAATTTCATTATCCGTCGGACGTTGCATAAGCGAGCACGGTATTTCGAGTAGATTTACCCGAGTATTTGAATCGTTGAACCGGGCCGAGATATAAATGGGAACGAGCGGATCGGCGCGGTGGAACCAGTCGATTCGCTTAACTGTATACCGATGGCGGGTACCGGTAGCAGCTGATGGAAGCCGATCGTGATCGGGCCCTTCTCGCTGGCCGAATCGTCGCGTTGGAATCCGTCGCGAGAGGAACCACGCCGCCGCGCCGGTCGGAACACGGACGAGCTCGGCCAGGGCCCGGCGGCGCGCCGCGGCGGAACCGGTTATGCTGATGGCAAACTGTTTTTCACCTTTTGCACCTCCCTCTGCTGCCTGTACTTCGCGATACACGCCGCCACGTATCCGCGCCGATGCTCTTTCGTCCAGTCTAGCCTCCGGCTGCACCTCGCCCTCGACGCGTTTCAGGTTTCCGTTCGAAGAGAGGGAAGGAGTAATAACGAGGCTCCTCGACTCGGTGACGAGAAGCACCAAGGACTAGTCGTACATTTAAGAATCGATCATTGAAAAGGAAAAAAAAAGTCCCAGAGAAAGAACGTGCCGAGTGGACGTAGCGATCGTCGATGCTCGACGTGTCAAAGGTCAAAAGTATCAAAGAAAATGACATAGGTACGTGCTAAGTGGTTGCGGTCAGTAACGGTCCCATGCGAAACATGCTAATGAATCGTTGATAAAATATGACGACTATTTCAATGCCGTTTCAATCGTCTCGCTGTTCTTCCTCTTTACTTTGAAAAACCGTTCGAGGGTATCTACCGTGAATCTAATGGAGTGCCTCGACCGGCCAAGTGACACGAACTGGAGCGAAAAACTTCGTCCTTCTTGGGCCGTTGGGTTAGAAACGGTAGTCGAAACGAGCCGTCTCGATGGACGAGGTATGTATCGCGTGCAAGAGAAAGTGTCACGATTCGACGACGACGACGACGACGTGTGCACGCAGATCTCTCAATAATTGTACGATTCGAAAAGAAATACCGCGAATTCCTCTAACGTAGAGACATCCTGGCTGTCTCGAGTGATCATCGAAACGTCTCGTTTCAATCGTACGTGGGAAAGATTACGTAAAGATATTTATATGAAATTGACACGTAATGACACGCGGAAGAGGCGACGCGATTCATAGAATTAGGAAAAAATACAGAGACACGATTTGCACAATTGTTCGAAGGCGAACGAAAACGCGAATATTTCTCGGCAGTGCCACCCTGGCAACCGACCGTACCAAAACGCGTTGCGGAGAGAAACTGGACCCAAAGACCGTATATTCGTCAAGGTCAGTGACTGGGTGTGTCAAGGCACGGCTTCGGCATAATTCAATTCCTATCGAGAACGATATTGTGTCTCTGCACTCTTGGGCAATCGCTGAAAGCTTAATGTAAAATTTAGACCAGAACCCGAGCCACTGCTAATAGCCGATCGAAAGATACCGTATAAGCTGACAAAGAGATATTTCGATCTCGAAATATACAGGAAATTAATTGAGAAATTTGTGACGCAAATTATAGACTCGATTTTGCATCGAATGATTTCGCATGTGAAGCAGATAAACCATTGGATAAACGAGACAAAGCGTTTTGCTCTAGCTTGCATGGAAAGTCTAGAAGAGAGAGCGACCGATGCTACACACATGTCTGTGCTCCAATTGCGATTTCTCGCTTACGCGTACTAATTAACCCTAATTGTAGCCGGCCGGGTAAAAAGAAGACGGGAACCAGAGACGATTTCACTCGTTGCGGATCCTTTTCGTCGATCCTAGCGATTCGAGCCTCGGAATCACCGCGATCGCGAGCGATCACGGCTGTACAACGTTGCTCAAAACCTAACAATACCGTTCTCTCCGCGATATGAAACAACTATAATTACGGCGAGCCGCGTTACGCGGAGGTACAGTCACCCGGTTATGTCAAACCCCGTTTACTACGTCCTTCGACACGCGGTTCTTTGTCCTTAACGCTGTTCATCTCGACTGCGATGTTAATCGCACAGACGCTGTTACGCACCTCGTTCAAGACCGTCCTTCCATCTGAAGACTCGTCAGAGATCATTTCAAATGTTTACTCGACGGACGAATCGACGAAAGAAGAATAAATTACACGACTCTCACCTTCACTTGTAAAAATCGTTCAAAAAAAGATTTGGCAAAAATATTAATAGATCGTTATTAAGTGGCACGCTCGATCATTAGCGACACGTGGTTAGACGTCGACCGAACGAATGATGAATAGGATTCGAAATTCGTAGTACCACTGAACGCGTGTTCTTACACGGCGGTCGCGGTGCGCTTCTTCACGGCTCCTCGTTTGATTCCTTTTACTTTCTATGTACACGGCGATGACTCGACACTGTATTTTGGCACGGCCTTCCGACAGACGAGGTACGAGGCGAATATTCAATGAAACGAACACGGATAAGTGGTAATGATTAATTATGTAAATTAGAATGTTCCATCGGAGCGCACAAAACGTTGGTTTGCTTCTATAGTTTGAACTCCCTAGCCGAGAATCATGGTGCCATGTTTCGACTCGCCGTTCGTTATTATGAACACGAGAGCTGAAGATTGATAGATCAACGAGATTGTAGATTTTGTAATAAAGCCACTGGGATTCTGTTTAAAAGAATTTCCAAATATTTGAACACCACGTTGCTCACGTATAGGCGAGACAGTGAAATTATTTAATCGATATAACTGATGAATTAGGTGCACGATACTCCACATGAACTTTGTTACGTTCGTAGAAAATTACATCTCACATGCATCAAGCAGTGACATAACTCCAAATACAGTTTTCGAGTTATCGATATAGAAAAACCGGTTCTCATGATTCGATACGTGATACTAAAACGACCTACTTACAATTACTATGCCAATTTGACTTCGCAAAGAAATGTCTCTAAATGTAATTTATCGTACACACAGTACACAAGTCGTTGAACAGTTAATAGCCATCTGATCGAACGACGAATAAAATTAGTGACGAATCAAATGCAAAACTGATTGATTTTACTCGAACATCTATGAAATATGCCATTCGATATGACCTGTTTTCAAGAGTTTATTACCGTTCTCTCTGGGTTAATTTTTAGATGAAAGTGAAATTTCTTTTTCTCAAAATATCGAAGAATGCTTCAAATAAAAGTTGTTTTTCTTCTAATTTCGATATTTAACGAGTTACATAGGATTATTTGGCATTTTATTGATGTTGACAAAATCCGACCATCCCAGCGTCGAAACGGCGAACTTTTGGCAAAAAATTTCGTTTTTCCTCAATAACTCTTAAACCGTTAGTTGTACGAGAAAATTGTATAGAACCTTTCTTGTAGAGGACGACGAGATCTACAATTCCCATATAAAAGTTTTTCGCTAGCATTAATATTTAAAGAGTTATTGACGAAAAACGAAAAAACAGTTTTTTGCAAATAACTCGTAAACTATCGGTGATAGCGACAAATTTTTATATGGAAATTGTAGATCTCGTCGTCCTCTACAAAATGGTCGTATAAACG